ACCTTAGAACTGAAGAAGCTTCTCGGATGAGAGGTGAAACGTCTTCAAGTAACTTAAAGAAGTCCAGACGCTTTTCTTTGCAAGCTCCTTTGACCCATTTAACTTATCTTGCCAAGTTCCCTAAATGTCTTCTGTAAAATCTAATAGATGTTTTCTGAATTACATTTATAGTTTGGTTGTAATGCAGTTTGCTTATTTTCTAGAAAATGTTTCAGAAGCAGTGTAATGCATAACTTGTCCTGGCCTGATAACAACCAATTCAATTCAATTTTATTTATACAGTGCCAAATCACAACAACAGTTGCCTCAAGGCCCTTTATATAGTAAGGTACACCCTACAACAGGGGTGGGCAACTCCAGACCTCGAGTGCTGGTGTCCTGCAGGTTTTAGATGTGTCCTTGATCCAACACAGCTGATTCAAATTGCTAAATTACCTCCTCTGTCTTGAAGTTCTTGAGAGGTCTGGTAATAAACTAATCATTTGATTCAGGTGTGTTGACCCAGGGTGAGATCTAAAACCTGCAGGACCCCTGCCCTACAATAATACATACAGAGAAAAACCCAACAATCATATGACCCTCTATTGCAGGGGTAGGCAACTCCAGGCCTCGAGTGCCGGTGTCCTGCAGGTTTTAGATCCCACCCTGGGTTAACACACCTGAATCAAATGATTAGTTCATTACCAGACCTCTGGAGAACTTCAAGAAATGCTGAGGAGTCATTTAGCCCTTTAAATCAGCTGTGATGGATCATGGACACATCTAAAACATCCAGGACACCGGCACTCGAGGCCTGGAGTTGCCTACCCCTGCTCTATTGAGCAAACACTTTGGCGACAGTGGGAAGAAGAAAAACTCCCTTTTAAGAGGAAGAAACATTTAGCCAAGGAAACACTAAATGCTTCTAAGAAAACATTTCAAGGTCATACAACACCAAGTGTTTATGAGCTCTTACCTTCGACTTGTGCCATTTGGAGTTCTTTGGTCTTGGAAAATCCAACTGTGAACAGTAAAACATAGTTATTTATTTATTAGTGTTGTTTTTAATTCATCATAACGATACCAGTTGCTCATGAAGATATGTAATTCAGCTTTAACACATCTGAAAGAGACAGTATTTCAGAGAATAAAAGTCTTACCTGCAATAACATTTAAAACAACAGTGCAAACAGCCCTTCCATATTCATTTGTTGCAAAACACTTGTAGGTGTCAGCATCTTCTGGAGAAACTTTAGGGAACTAATGAAGCACAGAGCTGATGTCATTTTTCTTATGTTTGACTGCATATTAAGTGTTGTTATTTATTTCAGCTCACAATCACTTGTACCTTGAAAGTGCTATTGTGGAGCTTACCTCAATGGTGTGTTCGTGGGTTGCCTCATCATATTTTTGTAGGCACACAGAAGGATGAAAAACTATTTCTCCATTTGCTCTACTCCATGTCACAGTAGGGGTTGGGGTTCCTACTATTATGGCTTTAAAGACTGCAAATTTACCTAAAATAGAAAAAGTTGAGGATTGTTTAGTATTGAAAAAATAACTTAATAAATGGAATTTATAGAATAAATGGAATTTATCTTTGTCATCTGTTTAATAGATACTTTTGTTAGTGACTTCAGTTTAATTACATCACCAGAACAATTAGGACTTCCCAGTATTTGTCAGTAATACTTGTGTAGGTTTAAGGTGTAGGTCAGTGTGCAGCACATTTTTTTGTATTGTATTGTGAAGCATTTGAGACATGACATGAGACTTACCCTCTTGAATAGTTAGAGCAATCGGTTTGCGGGTGAAATCTGGAGTTGTCATCCCCTCTGGAAGTTCCTCCATAAACTGTGTTATCATGACACCGGGCACTTTTGACTTCTTCCTGATGCCTAACCAAATCAAGGCATAATAGGCAATTAGGCAACCCTAATATTTCAAAGCAGACCAGGTATATACAAATTTGTGTGATCTAGACTGAGGATAATAGATCACTTAAAATGTTAAAAAAGCAACTCTATAACTCTAAAAAAAAGGTCATATTTTGATCAAAAAAATAACCCAGCACATTTAAAGAAAGGCTAAAACTGTATTCAGATACAAATTAAAAACCCAGACCAGAAAAAAGGAAAGAGGTCAGGGTCAATTGCAAACACAGTCACATTCTGACATATGAAACAAGTATGTGTGAAGAGAGTGCATATTCTGATGTTAAAATGTCACAATACACGCTTAAATTTCAACTGCTGCATGACAAAAGGGCTAAGAAAAGCTGCATTTTATAAGATTATCTACCATTTTTTTTTCTTTACAAACTGCAAGTGCTTATTCTAAGTGAAGGAATAATACTTTAACAGTCAGCTTATTTGGGAATGAAATATGTCAGCTATCAGCTGGGATAGTTTGATATTGCTGAAGGTTTGTTGAACTTGCTACCACAGTTTATCCAATTCCTAGTGCTGTTTAAGTAGGATAAAAGCCACTTACATAGAGAAAGGTGAACAATCATAAACCGTTACTTACAATGAATGTATAACTGAGATATTTAACCTATAACAATTTAACAAATCCATGGGCTTTTGAAGTAGTTGTAGTAGTGATTGTGTAGTGTTTAGTGATATTAGCATGTGCCATATTTATGGGCTTGAGTCTCAGACAAATATTTGTGTGAGTCTCAAGCCCAGTAAGATCATAGTTGGTGCTATTATAATAATAAAATCAGTCTTTTAGCATAAAATCAGCACTTTGGTCATGTGGAATAGGTTATGCTTGTGATTAAGAGTTTTTTCTTCTCAGTCTATTTCAATTTAATGCATACATACTCTTAAAAAAACACATTTATAATTTACTAAAACACTCAGCACAGTTTATTCTAAATTTGTGAGTACCAGGAAAGATAAAACTGAACAAAAAGGTCGAGGTTAGCTCATGCATTCTGTATTTTAAAATATGTGTCAACAGAATCAGACATGGATCTACATCCATGTGCTGTACTATTAGAGTATTCATATGAACTAACCCTCAGCAATATCGAAGACTTCATCACTGATTGCTGTTCACAAGGATAAAGCTGGCCCAGGGATCCCTGGTCTTTAATTATTTTCACCTTGCATGAAAGACCTGCAATAGGCAGAATATTAGCTACAAAATATTTATATTTTTATTAAAGATTGTGAGAGCAGAATGCTCCACCCAGCATTTTGCAGTCTGAAGCACACTGTTAAATTAGTTAGTTAAATTAAATAAGTTAAATTGCTTGCAGCAGGAGTTACTGAATAGTATATATGGTTTGTATGCTGCATGGTGATGATAACGTTACACTGGTGTTGCTGCTGTTAGCAAGCTGGATGTTCACACTGTGGAATTTTTAGGATGATGCAACAATAAAAACAACATGTGTGCATGAAAATGTTGATCAGCTTTTCAAAATAAGACAGTGATTAGAATGACATGAAAGCCAAGCATTGATATCATAGGTCAATTTGCAGATAACATTTAAAAATAATTAGCATAAATGTGGTACGAAAACGTTTAATTCAGTTCTGTCATTCTGAAGTAGATTTAACAAGACGTATGTTCTTGATTAAAAACAGGGTCTTTCGTAAGTCGAAATTTTTCGTAAGTCGAAGCACCCATCGCGCCCTTTGAGTGAAAGATAGGCTATAGGCTAATTGCTAACTGCAACGACAATACGTCGTTCAAGTGGAACAGCGAAGCGCAAGTACGAAAGCCAAGGGGGTTGTCACATGATTCGTAAGGAATTGTAGGCATTCTGGGCTCAGCCAATCAGAGCCAGCGGATTTCGTTACTCGGGCATTTTGCCGTAACACGGGCAGAAATATTGCCGTTAAGTTCCTTTGTAACTTGAATTTTTCGTTAAATGGGGTATTCGTAAGTCGGGGTTCCACTGTATATTATATCTGAGTTGTCTTACATCTACGTTTCTCAACATCACATCCCTGATATCTTGGTTTTTTTTTTTTGAGTTAAATGATTGCTGTCACTGAAAATTTGCACTACCGTCGCAGTGGAAGTGTCCCTGTTTTGTTTGAGTTGTCTACCAAACACAGATGCGACAGAAGAAATTTTCCTTTTGTGTGTTTTTTGCCTCTTCATCACTTGCAATGAACCTCTTTTTGGAATGAATTAGTAATAATGATAATTACTGTACCATCTGTTCTTATAGTCTTTGTCCCTCAGTGTTTGCTTAAAAGCTGGCAAACAAACTCATAAAAGATATTCCACTTCATTTTTTTAAAAACAATTTTTAAAATCTACTTTTAAAACTTAAGTAGTTATACCCTGCAACCTTACACCCTGCAAATGAATGCAGGAGGATAATGCATTTATCTTGTTAATGTCGTTCTCCTTTTACCTTGTTTCTTTTTTTTCTCTTTTTTTAAATGAATATTTTTCCCTTTTTGTGTCTTTGTGTCTCATAAGGCTCTTGTTATTTGAATGGCGTTTTATACACTTTGCTTTCATCAGCAAACAACTGTACAAAAGAATGAATGATATGAATGAATAATGAGTCTATTCAGGTAGACTGCCAAAACCTGCTCACTCACCAGTTTGTTCTTATTTTTGTCAGATGTTTGTGTTCTCAACAGTACAGTTTCAACCTTTTTGTCAGATTAGACTGACATGACTGAATTTTTCATTTGTAGATAAGTAGTGCTGAACTGTTTTTATTTGATACTGTCCTACTGTAGTTAAACTCTATAGTGCGTTTTTTGTTTATGTTTATTTTAAAACCTCAACTAATAAAAACCATGGAAAATGCTCTCTAATCATCCAAATTATTTGTTAATTTATTGTTAAATCCCCCTGTGTCTCACAGGAAAATGGCTTTGCATATGTTTTATCTTGTGAAAAAGCTCTTTGTTTAATTTGCAGTGAAGGGACGTTTAAAGATGTTTAACTACACATTTAATCTCTTAGATATCTTAAAATAAGATCAAGAAGTGCAATTTCAATAGCACATCTCAGTGTTTCTTTTTACTGAAAACTATTTTGAAATGTAATTGTTTATTTATTACTTTACTTTGGTGTAACATGACTGGCTGTGGGGGAGGTCTTTATCATCAGGAAAAGCTTTAAAACATATAAAACATACAGTTAAAGGCCCACAAATGTTGGCCTGCTTCATATTTTCTAAAGCTGTCCAGTGGGCCGATTTGACAGGCCGATTCTCACACTTGTGATCTGAAGATTGAGTCATTAATGTCTGGTTTCACATGCAAAATAAGTACAAATAAATATGTGCAACTTTAGACGCAACTATGAGAAAGGATTTGTTGTGCTATTATTGGATTAATTAAGATGTCATACTAGAGGTTATAGGAAGATTGAGTGAGGATGATTGTAATACAACTGAGTACACTTTGAAAATTGGATTTAATTTAGTGTAAAATTGGTGTTGTTACTAGGGTTGCATTTATACTATATTGCATGACATCGCCACAACATTACTAAAATATCACTAAATGCTGCAGCAGAATAAGTTACTCATTGTGCTTATCGATGTAAAACTTGTTAGCTGTTTTGGTACCGCAAAGATTCTTAAGAGTCAGGGTCAGAGTTGGTCAGGTCTGCTGAGTAGAACAGGCCACTAAACGCCATTGCACTAGTCACAGTGTATAAATTGCGGTAAAATATGAGATATATTTATTTTATACCTTAGACTGAGTCATGAAATAATACATTATAGGCCCAAAAGTCCCAGGCCACTTACATATTTACACCTATTGGAGCTACTTGGCCATAGGAAACCATGCCGTCAGTCTCCTGTTGCACAGTTTTTGTGCTGAAGTTAACACCAGAGGAGGTTTGTAAATCTGCATCTTTACATGGTCTATAGCAGAGCTGAAGAAATTTCATGAACTCTTTTGTTACAGTGTCGTGCCATACAGTATTAAAGTAGGTCTTTCTCTTCCACTCTTTGTAAAGGTGGACTGCAGGTGCGTGATTTTATATTCCTCTAGCAATGGGATTAAAACTCTTAAATTCAAAGGTAAATTAAAGGTTTTTACCCAGTGCTTTTGTCTGCTGTGTATAAGACATTAAATGATACTGAGAATTGTCATTTTCGCTGGTTACCTTGACATTTCACAGTTGAGCAGGAATACAAAGGTCAAAATATTTAAGAGGGTACAGAATGGTCCAAATTAAAGGAAAGTACTCAGATATAATTTACTGGTAATCTTTCTACTTATATCAAATGCACACCATTTGCAGTTTAAAAGTAATTACAATGTAATTATGTTAAAGCTTGATGAAATTTGCACTTTTTAAGGGTCCTTAGAAAGTGCAAAAATCTATCTAATGTGACAGGGTGGCAAGTTGCATTAGATAGATTTTAGGAGACATTATGCCATTCCTGTAGAGCAAGTTCACTTATTTAGACTGAACTGTGCCAGCATATTGTACAAGGTTACTTTGCATTTGAATACATCTTTAAAAGTGGCATTTTTTTTCCTTGAAATTACAAGCTACAGTCAACAGATGGCAATCAACCGCAGTGCCCTCTAGCAACAGCCTGCAGACACGTTTCATATGAGGGGTTTGAAAATGTCACAATGAAATGCATCTGTTGTGACACTGAAAGTCATATCATCCATTCTGGATGACACCTTTCAATGAATGATGAAGATCATATCATACATGCAACTCACCCATCATGGAATCATGCATTTACAAAGATGAATCGTTCAGGTAATTTAATTTTTTTGTTTTGTTTTTTGTCTTTCGCTCGCATACCTTTGTCGTCTGGGTGAACTCCCTCAGAACCGCCGACTTAACACGTAATGTGAAAGTGGGAGAGGGAACAGGACAGGTAAATATTAATCCTGACAAAAGCACCATGTTGGGTTGGAACTTCGACAGGATTATAACATATAATAGACATAAAACACCACAGTATACAGTATATACCCAGGAATCGAAAGCGCAAACAGACAGACTTGAGCAGACCCGAATATTTAGAGGCACATTGCACATCAAATCATTAGTCGCAGACAAAAAATAAGACAGAGGTTAGCAATGTGTTGTTACAGCAAGCATGTAAATGCTGTACTGTACAACTGATGATTAGACATAGCTTCACACTTTCTTACGCATTTTCTCATGGTAGACATCTCAGGATGTTTCCTGTGCAGTGCTTGAGAGAAATTATGTATAAATAGAAAAGCAATTTGTGGAAAGATGATTTCAAATAAGCCTTCAGTTTGTCTTCTATCAAACAGAGACACAATTTCATTTTCAGCTCCCTCTTTATTTGTGGCAGCTTGAAGTGTGTGTTGAATTAATCTTCGATGATCTTGTTTTGATCTTCCATGTCCCCAACGGTTGCATTGCCAGCATTGCTTCTCAGATGAATCCTGAGTATTCTTTGTCTTTGGTCATGAAAAAATCTTTTTTAAACACGATGTGAGCTTGTTTGCATCTTCTCTTGTGTTGTCAGCGATGCCGCTGATCATTTCTTTGATCGACATCTTCATTCGAGTGGAGAAGCTAGTGACCGAAAAATGGCTTCTCTTCTTAGACAGAAAAAAAGAAGAAAAATAGCATCTGTTTTCTCATTGCCACACAAAATCTCAATATCTTGCAGGGATCTTGTATAGACTGCTTCCACTGAAGAAAATAAGCAGCTGTATTGTTTATCTTCTTTTTAAGTTGTTGGTGATGGCCTTCATATTACACATTTTATTGTAATTTTATTCTTTAAGTACCATGTGGCATGCCATTTTTACCTGTTGCTTTCTTGTCTTAATTATTCTTGAATGCAGTGTCACACAGCTCTTTAGTTTTAATAAAATTAGGTGTTTGCTGTCTGTGAGAAGGATCCTGTTCTTTTGTGTCACTGCAATAATAGAACGTACAGGGTGACAAGGCTGCAATACCAACCATTGACTGGCTTCTTTACTTACCCGCCTGCCCAGTGGCAGTCTGATCGGTCTCCTTTGACTTCTTCGACATCTTGGTTTTCTCTTGAGCTCTGCTGATTCAGAAGGCTCTGCACTAAAAGACAGAATAGGAAATCTAAACTGTACTGTACAAGTGTGGCTCAAATCAAATCCCTGATATAAGACATTTGTGTCAGAGTTTGAGGTGTTAGTCTTTTAATTTTGGGATTGTTTTCTTTTTGAAAAAGTAAGCAGACGCCATTTAAAAGTTTTCATAGAGTAATGTAGTGCTTTTGAAACAGACTGCTCTAATTACTTTTCCAGTGGCACAACGTCATTTACAGTGAATGTCAGACTTAACATGGGATTATTCTGTGTCTCAGGATTCCTTTGCATACATTTGTTAATTAACCGAGGTGCTCAATGAAACCTCATATAATGTGGTATGTTGCACACTGTACAGCTATAATTATATGATCACCCAGTTAATGACAATAACTTACATGCCAGTTTAAAATTTATAATTATACAGACATTATACTGCAAACATTTTTAAACATTTTACTGTTCTTAGAAGAGTTCTGGGATCATCTATACAATTCTGGATGAAGTCAGTGACAAGGATAAAATGAAATTCAAAGGAAATTCTTTATATTTAATTGCTGAAGATATATGCTTTTGACTGTGTCATGCCGGAAAATGATTTGAGGATAATTAATTTGAGGATAATTAATTTGGTGTGTGTGTGTGTGTGTGTGTGTGTGTGTGTGAAAATATACATCAAAGTTTTCCATAGTACTACATTTTGTGAGATTTCTTGAGCAACAAGGGTTTCACTGGCTCAGAATCACACCACCGTGGTTAATACAACCCTATTTTATAAAAATAAAGGAACACATTATGTAGCTGTGTAGATGTTAATACCAATTAAAACAAATTTAAAAATTTTTCAAATATTTTCAGTTAAAAAAATCAGTTAAAGTTCATTTTAATGTAGGTCTTGTAGACCAAAAAGACAGCCTCCTCAAAAAAACAAACAAAAAATCCCAACATTTAATGCAGGAACTTTCAAAAAACTTGTGCATGTGTACCACTGTGTCAAATCACCTTTTTTAACTCCGTAAGTGTTTGAAAGCTGAAGAGATGAAGCTATAAAGGAAAATTGTTTTTCCATCTTGACTGAAATATTGTTTCAGATGCTCAAAAGTTAAGTTTCTTTGTTGTTTTGTATGGTGTTATTTTTGTGCCACTATTCTGAGCGCACGTAAAAAAAATTTGCAGGCGCAAGTGTTGCATTTTGAGGAGAAATTTATTTTGAGCAAAGAAAAGCTGAATTTGAGTGAACAGAATTCATTGCTGCATGCAGAAAATGTATTTCAGTGTTTGCTATTATTCACACACACGCACAATAGCAGCCCCTCTCGCTCAGTTTTTGCATTTGCGCTTGCTTGCAATGTGTTGCTTGCGCTCTCAACATTTCTGCCCGTGCGCGCTCAACTCTTTCTCTACACCGT